GGGGGGGTGGGGGGGGGGGGGCGGGGGGGGGGGGGGAGGAGAGCAAAGGGAAAAAGCCACAGGAGAGTTGTTCATTTCTGCCTTGGGTTTCATGTTTGACTCCGCACGTGTACATGTGTTTTGTGCGAACTTGGGAAGGAAAAAAAAAACAGTGAGAACGAAAATTTTTCAGTTTTTTTTTTTTTTTTTCGCGAAAAATGAAGTCAATGCTGCTACGAGACTTGCGGGGAAGTCTTTGCTTCGAAGTGCACTGTCACTAAACACGCCTTCATGATGCAGTTGACGACGACGAGCCGATGTCGGTATTTGAAAGACAGAGAGAGTGTCTGGATGTCACCCCTCCTGTGTTTTGATTTCCAGAGTGGTTGGGCTTGTGTGACGGATAAACAAAGTGATGTGTCCTCACCCCTGGTGCTCGAGAAATTGTGCTAAATCTGTTTCCGTGTTATAATTAAAAATATAATTTCCACTTCTTAAAGGTGCAAGATTTACCCGCCTCAAATATAATCGGATTAAATTCAAATTTCAATTGTAGTGTTAATTTTTGTTGTCTTCAGTGATACAAGTAGAACCGAGAGCTGCTGACGAATTCCGTGATTTTTCGCTGAATCTTGAAAAATCAGTTTAAATAGAATGAAGTGGCTTTTTCATTTTTAAAACTTTCAAACCGACCACCGCGTCTTGACGATGCTCTTCAATAAAATGTCTACCTATTTACCCAATTTTCTGATTAGAGACATCTCATTAAAAATTTATTATTTTAAGCGACGGCCCATCAAATTTTAAAGATAAAGGAGACATTTCCATTCTTTTTAAAATTTTGTCTGGGTGGCGAATATTTCCATTATCATGGATTGTTCATTAATAATTTAATAATTTAAATCCTTTCGTTCGACGGAAAAATGGCGAAGATACATAGCGGGAATACGCTAGTGGATGATTTTTTTTCGTAACCCCTGGTGCTCGAGAAATTGTGCTAAATCTGTTTCCGTGTTATAATTAAAAATATAATTTCCACTTCTTAAAGGTGCAAGATTTACCCGCCTCAAATATAATCGGATTAAATTCAAATTTCAATTAAAGTGTTAATTTTTGTTGTCTTCAGTGATACAAGTAGAGCCGAGAGCTGCTGACGAATTCCGTGATTTTTCGCTGAATCTTGAAAAATCAGTTTAAATAGAATGAAGTGGCTTTTTCATTTTAGAAACTTTCAAACCGACCACCGCGTCTTGACGATGCTCTTCAATAAAATGTCTACCTATTTACCCAATTTTCTGATAAGAGACATCTAATTAAAAATGTGTTATTTTGAGCGACTGCCCATCAAATTTTGAAGATAAAGGGGACACTTCCATTCTTTTTTAAATTTTGGGACCCACCGCTTATAAAGGTAATAGTACCTAACAAGTAATTATTAAATTATTAAATTTAGGAAAGCAAGCTGCCTTTTTACCGCTTCTATGTATCGCCCTTATGCGATCACCTACTAAAAAAAAGCATTTAGCCTCCCATCGAAGTACAAATGAATTGAGAATGTAATAATTGCGTAATAATTGATAAATAAACATCATATGAAATAAATATCACTTCAATAATCCTTGCTTCGATTCAGCGTGAATTACATTGAATGTTTGCCATGATTTGCGGGCCTCATCGCGATTTTCTTAAAACCTGATGCGCAGAATTTATTTTTCAAAAGGATTTTTCAACACGCATTTTCGTCATGCTGATTCAGAGGAAAAATTGGTATATGTTTGGTCTTTGTTGAAACTCATTCGTGTGTTCTTCGATAACCCGTGATTTTTGTCATTACGAAGTCATCTGGCCTTTTTTTTTGCGGTGGAGGTTTTCTTTCCTTTTTGATCGAGAAAAATTATGACTGCCAGATTTTTCGTTTAAAATAATATATTGTCCCGAAACTGTTGATCCGATGGAATGACTCAAGACTGGTTTTGTTTTCATACGTGTATTAACGCTATCATTCCGTGTTACTCGTTTCTCTCTCCGCTCATAAAATACAATTCGAAAAATGTTCCACAGATTTCCTTGAAATTGACGAACGGGAATCGGATTCGGCGATTCATAGAACTTACACTCGATCACTGACAATCATGAAGGAAGAGGAGAAAATCCAGCAGCCGCTTCTAACTGTGTCCCAAAACTCGCCCGAGGCGAGACTCTCTCCGGCGCCGTCCCCTTCGGCGCCGCGGCGACCTCGGAAATCCTCCGTGGCGCCGCAGCCGCCCTCTTCGGCACCACCACCACTGCCAACACAGCCTCCGCCGCCTCTGGAAACAGACCTCGACTTTGTGGTCGAAGTTGATCGTCCGTTGCCGCCGCCGGTGCCGCCGCGAACCCTGTCCAGTGCACTGGCGGTGGCGAAATTCAGGAAGCCGCTGAAAATCGACTTGACGGCGCCGTTGACGCCGAAGCCGCCGAGGCCGAATTCTCAAATCATCATACCCACTGACGAAGACTTGAAGAAGAACAAGAAGTACTACGACCTGCGGATGTGGAAGATGGGACTTGATGACATGCGCAATCTCAAGGGCGATCTTTTGGATCACGTTCAAAAGGTAAAATATGTCGGGTCGGCATCTGTGCTAGACAAACACCAGCTCAAATGCCGCCAATTAAAAAAATAATCCAGAACCTGGTAGCAAAAACAAAAAAATAAAAAAGGAAACTTTGCGCGGGTATTCAACCCACTTGCGTTGAAAACGTTTATTTTTTTCTTTCTTCTTTCTTTCTTTCTTTCTTTCTTTCTGGGACGAGCTCTGAAGCTTCGAATTTCATGTCAGAAAAGCAACCAACACAATTTTGCGACCAGTCCTTTAAAATCTCGAGTACTGGATTTTTATGACTCAAAAAAAAGTTTGAGCAAAGAAATTTTCGAATAGTACCCAGCAAGCAAAGCTTCAAAGAGAATCGTAGGAAAAATCAAAATTAATTAAAAGTAGGTATTCGAACTGGTAGCGTTTAAAACATTTTTTCCTGGATCGAGTTCAAGTTTCGAATTTCTTGTCAAAAACAACCAACAGATTTAAGCGACCAGTCCTATAAAAACTTTAAAAACTTGAGTACTGGATTTTTATGACGCAAAAAAAAAGTTTGAGCAAGGATCAAAAGCTGTTCATGGCTTCGTCACGAAGCTTCTTTTAGCATCCTTTTTATTTTTAATTAACTTTCCAATAAGCTTGTCCATCGCAAATTTTGTGAAAAAGGACCAAGCTCAAGTTCGAAGCTTAATCATGTCAGAAGCAACAAGCAAGAAATAATATACAGATATTCTTCTTCCCGTATTGAAAACTTTTTTATTACGAATAATATGATGCATCATTTAACGAAGTGCAGCTTCATCGTATAGCAACGTATACGATGAACGAAAGTTCTGTACGTGAATCTCTGCATTTATGCATTGCGGTCTAAACCAACTCTCAGCTTATATAGGATATGAATAAAATTAATTTTAAAGATTCAAATTAGTGTTTAAAAATAAATTATTATATGGAGAAATTCAGTTGGACTCTTCAAAAGTGCTTGTAAGTTAATCTAAGCAGATTCAGCGCGGATCAAATTATTTATTTAGCTCGATCCTCATGAGGTTGGTCATCGAGTTGTAAAAAAGTTACTCGATTTTTATCGGCGAAATCATAAAGGAAAATATTTATAAACCAAAAAGATTTCAAGGTGAGAGAGCTTCCTAAACTTTTTTAGATTCACCCCATGCAACTGTAAGTTTCATGTGCTCCAAAATTAATTCGTAATTGTTATCCATTATCAAGATTCTTTAAATTCCTTTTTTATTTTCAAAAGCGACGTTCAGTAATATTCCACCAATGAATCGACGACCTTTGGATTGTGGGCTGCTACATTACAGTACTGTATTTTAAATGCATTTTCTGGGGAACTTCCATTGCTTGCATCTAGCAATGAGAGGGTCATTCAAGAAGAAGCATCACGGTAACCTTGAGGAAAATATTGTACATCATTCTCGGGCTCGATTCATCATTTCTTTGTCTTCTTCGTTTGTGAAAGAATAAGGAAAAAACGTTTGAATTTGAATACAATTCGTCAGTAGACAAAAAGATATCAATTCGTACAAAGTTTCCTTATAGTTTCTGGCGAAGTTTCAGCGGCGTTGTATCAAAAAGTCTAAATACCGGTATTGCTGCACAAAATTTTGACATTGAACGATAATTTTTCCTTTTTATACTCGTGTTGATATTGTGCCAAACATGTGTTCATTTTCTCATGTTCGAAAAGTCCTTCGAAGAAAAAACTGCAGTGGTTTGAATTCCTTTAGTCTGCTGCATAGCTCTTATTCATGCTGCAATTTGTGGATTTTGCATGAATGCCTGTATCCATGTGATGGTGCTAATTCCCCGATTGTTAATTGAGGCATGCAAATAATTCAGGGTAAAATCAAATTGATTGGAAAAATTCTGGTGAAAACTGGCAACACATTTCCCCTCTCCCCACAAACAATCAGAACTTATGGTGTCAAAGGCATCTTTGATTCAAAATTTTCCTGGCCAATCGCAGGCTGTCTGCTTCATCCTGTCCTTGATCAGAATACTGGATCAAGGACAATGAATATGAAGAAATTAATAAATACCTGAAAATACAGAATATCATCATCAATCCACTGTGCTGCTGTTGTCAGAAACGGTTGTGTCAAAGAAAGTCATTTCCGAGAGGTTATCTGTTGTGAAAATAAAGACTTCAAAACAGATTTAAATGAAACGACACAACCCTATTTAAGTTTTATATAAGATTTAAAATTACTCCCTAACATGGTTCTTAGGGGACGGAACAGGGCTAGACTTAGATGAAAAATAAAAAATAACGTCTCTTTCTTGATCCACAGCCAAAAAGTTCATCCTTGTGTTGTTTTGACCTTTGTTGGCAACACTGATGACACTTTTTGTTGCGGGAAATACCTGTATTCAGAAAAAGAGTTCTTTTTTATGTGACTGATAACAAATAATGCCATGATTTGCGAGCTTTATTGCATGGATTCATGCCTGAAGAAGGTGAGACATCCTTGGGAAGAAAAATGCGTTGCTCGAATAGAAATTTTAGAACCCTTTTTTTAAATTAAATATAATATTTTCTCACAGGCTTGCATATTCGTGACTTCAAGAATAATTTACCGTATTTACGCATTTTTTTCGAGATGCAGAATCTAAATTTTCAACTAGTGCGTTGGTTTGGCTAAAATGAAATTTAGAGAAAGGCAAGTTTTAATTATTGAATGGCAGTGTTTGGCAGCTGCAAGACGAAAGAATGCCGATATCGTGCCTCCTTGTGGATAACCTATGTCTCAAGTAATGATTGTATTATGCCTAATATGTATTCAATTTGTTATATTTATATTAGGTGAAGGAGGCGACGACTAAATCGCTGAGCATCCCGCAAAGAATTTTGCTCTGGTTGTCTGACACGGTTTCCTCGGCGTCCAGCAAATGGTTCACGCACATTCTTCTCATGTTGTCCCTGTTCTTGTTACGTCGAAAGCCGCCTAAGTAGAAGTTTCATCCACTGTACTTATAAAACTTAGTAACAGGAAGCCAATCAGCCATAAGTTGTCGGTCTATAGAACCTAAAAAGCGTCACTCGTCGTTGCTTAAAGATGTTCATCCGAGCGAAACTTAAATTCGCGACGACCCAAAGGTCTTTCGACAATTTATTGAAGCAGATAAATAGAACCGAAATTTCGAAAAACACTTCACAGACGCAGAACACATCTTAGAGGCGTTTATGTTTCCATTCGTGATGGATCAATAGAAAGCGATCGCATTTTTAATAGATTTTTTTAAATAAAAAACGGCGGAACTGTGACACGAAAAACGAGGAAAATGTACCATCAATTCTCTTCCCCAGAATGTTAAAAATCGTAGAAAAATGTTGTAAAGCTTTTTTACAACTCTAAGCAGCAAGAGATTTTTCCGGAACTGATTTAAACACAAATTAAAGCCATGAATAATTTTGAAAATCTGTGTAGGAAGCTATAGGAACCCACGTCCACTTTTCTATGGAGCATAATTTCCCTTTGATTTCGCGTTCTGATCACATCAATACACTTGAATAACCCATGAAACTATTTTTCCCTGAGAATAAAACGTAATTCTCTTCAAAAAATGGTAAATATCATAATCATCATTCGCGAGATACTGTAACATAAAAATACTGCATGTTTTGAATTGAACAGCAAGCTTAATTTTCTGCTTTTCAGTGTTCTCAATTTTCAAGCAACGTTCCTGCATTTCAACACATTCCTTCACATCAGAATGTAAAATAGATAAATAAGCTTCCCAAAATGTACAATTGCACAACTGACGTAAAAACATACACTTTCTTCCCTTCCCGGATAACAAAAACGAAATGTCAGTGATGAGAATTGCAACATCAGGCAATTACAGATCCCAAATTAAAGCAGTTCCACAAGTCGGAAAAGGGTCTACTACAAATTAACTAACCTTTTAAACATCTCTTAGAAATGAAAGACAGTTAAACAACAGTCGAAGTCCGGCGTATAAGAATATGCTCAGAGTACTGAAGCACATCACGTGTTCTGTGAGTTCAGTCGACGGAAATTTCCTCAAATGACTCAATATTTCCTTTTCCGGGATTGCGTTTAATTGCTTCGGTTCATTGATGATCAATATTTTTCCTGAAGACCCTCGAAGGTCCGCACGAAGAAAATACCAAAATAGACGTGGAACAGACTCAAGACCGGGTGTTGACGGAGTTGTGGCGGCAAGCAGGTGCGTCTAGTTCAGTGCAGGAGTTCAAAAACAATTCTCTGGGACAACTGGAGATTCTGCAGCAAGTGCTGTACCTTGCCTATGACCAAGGTATCACCAAGGGATTCGGCAAAAGGAGCTGGACTTTCTGGGGATCCACCTTTTACAGTGGAACGATCATCACGACAATCGGTAATTTTTTTTAGAATACATCAATATCTTCTAAACATCTAAAGTACCGCATTTACGAGCGGATCTTTAGATCTTGTGCATCTTTTTTCCAAATATTTAGATTTTAAAAATTGGAAGTTCGTGGTTGAAAAGTTTAATGAAAAGTTTTTATTTTTTGGAGCTTATGAACCACTTCGAAACAATTTTTAAAAGAAATATAGAAAAAAACTGGTAGACTTGATCATCCGAATAAAAGATGAATTCGAGTGCAGTATATAGTTATTTTTACTTATATGCTAATTAATGCAACTGAATCTAAATTAGATTTTTCATATACTGTACCTCATTGTATTTTATTATTTTCAATTTCTCCGCTCAGAAATTTTCAGCGTTTTTATAAAGAAAAGTTAACTTCTTAATGATGTTGAATGTGAATTTTTCATAAAATGACACCGAATGAGCAAGAATTTTCCGAATAAAAACGGGAAAATTAACCTAAATTCTCAACGAAAATTTTTCAGAAATTCGCAAAAACCTGCTTGAAGCCTTGTTAGTCACACAGCGCTTTGAAGATTCTTGACTCAAAAACTTTAGTAAACCAAAATGTTTTTCAGAGTACTGACTAAGTCTTCTATCTGAGTATTCTTCATTCTGAAGGAGTTCCTATCCACGTGTTGAAATGCCTCTAAAACTGCAAGGGCTTGAACTAGACTAATATTTTCTAGTGGTATTCTGGGTCCTTGATTTTATTTTTACCACATATATCAAATCATCTAATCAGCAGTCTTGAAAAAGCTTCGGAAATTAAAAAGGGAAAAATTTGATGCAGTCGAAATGACGCGCGCAAAAAGTAATAATCTTCTCACTTGAGTTGATTTTCGTGTGTCAAATTTTGTTGCCTTTTTCAATGCAATTTTTTTGCAGGCTATGGACACATTGCGCCAGTCACGAGCCTCGGGCGAATCGTGACAATTATTTATGCACTGTTCGGCATTCCAATCCTGCTCATGTCACTGGCAGATTTCGGCAAACTTTTCACTCGAATGGTGAAAGCGGGATTGGCTTTCTTCCGCCGACTCTACTACACCGGCACTTGCAAACGCGCCCGACGAACGGCGCCACTAAAAGTTGGCAACTGTTTTCAAAAATACACTTTTTATGCGCTTTTCTGGTCGTGGTCGGGGGGTTTTGAACCCAGTTAACTCTGACAGAGAGACACGGGAAAGAAGCTTCGTGATAAACTGAGAATAGACGGGTTAGGGAGGTTTTTCCAAGAAATCAAGTATCGTGCAGTACTTTTCTTNATGCAGCTTTCGGCGGATTCATCTTCAAAGTAGGTGACATGAATATTTTGAATCATTGTCCTTCGGTTAGTCGGTATTCAACAGCCAGATATCTTGGATTTTTCGCAGTGAGCAGCAACGAATTTCTCGTTCATCCGAGCGAAACTTAAATTCGCGACGGCCCAAGGGTCTTTCAACAATTTATTGAAGCAGATAAATAGAACCGAAATTTCGAAAAACACTTCACAGACGCAGAACACATCTTAGAGGCGTTTATGCTTCCATTCGTGATGGATTAATAGGAAGCGATTGCATTTTTAATCGATTTTTCTGAATAAAAAACGGCGGAACAGTGACACAAAAAACGAGGCAAATGTACCGCCAATTCCCTTCGCCAGAGTGTTAAATATCGTAGAAAATATTGGAAAGCTTTTTTTTACAATTCTTAAAAGCAGGAGATTTTTCCGGAACTGATTTATTCACAAATTAAAGCCATGAATAATTTTGAAAACCTGTGTAGGAAGCTAGGAACCCACGTCTACTTTTCTATGGAGCATAATTTCCCTTTGATTTCGCATTCTGATCGCATCAATACTTTTGAATAACCAATGAAACTGTTTTTACCTGAGAATAAAACGTAATTCTCTTAAATAAATGTTGAATATCATAATCATCATTCGCGAGATACTCTATAAAAAAATACTGCATGCTTTGAATTGAACAGCAAGTTTTATTTTCTGCTTTTCAGTGTTCTCAAGTTTCAAGCAAAGTTCCTGCATTTTAACACATTACTTCACATCAGAATGCAAAATAGAGAAATAAGCATCCCAAAATGTTCAAATGCACAACTGATGTAAAAACATACACTTTCTTCCCTTCCCGGATAACAAAAACGAAATGTCAGTGATGAGAATTGCAACATCAGGCAATTACAGATCCCAAATTAAAGCGCAAGGTGTTCAGCCTTTTCCCAGATGATGTTTAATTGATTGGAAAATTTGTAGAGAATCTTTACTTTCTGTCAATTTGTTGTCAGCTTCAGGCCGCATATTCTTATACGAGTCTCATGACTTCGTGT